CCGCTGCACGGGGAGGGGGCACGGGCAGCCCCCGTGCCGGCTCTGCGCACGGGAGGAGGGCAGCGCTGCGCGTCCGGCTGTGCGCGCTCGGGCTTGGCGTGCTGGCGCGGGGGCGCGTGTCCGCACTGTCCCCGTCCTCGGAGAGCAGAGCCTGTGCCCATCCCCGTGGCGCCTGGCCCTGAGCCTGTTCTCGTGCCCGCAGTGTGCGCCGTGCAGTGCCAGCAGTTCCTCATCTCCAAGGTGGGTGAGGACTGGATCTTCCTCATCCTCCTGGGGCTGGTCATGGCACTGGTGAGCTGGGCCATGGACTTCGCCATCGCTACCTGCCTGCAAGGTGAGTGGCACCATCAGGGCCCCCAAGGATGATGGGGTGGCCTCAGGAGCCACCTGGTGCCCCGTGGTTGGGGTCACAGGACCACACTGTGCCCCTCACGCCCATGACGTGTCCCTCACTGTGCCCGTAGCCCAGAAGTGGATGTACGGGGGTCTGGACACCAACGTACTGCTGCAGTACCTGGCCTGGGTCACCTACCCCACCGTGCTCATCACCTTCTCAGCCGGCTTCACACAGATCCTGGCGCCCCAGGCTGTGGGTAGGGCCCCACCAGCACTGCAGACACCCCCGGGGTGACAGAGCTGCCCCAGGGTGTCCCTGCAGTGGGGGCTTCCAGGAGGTCCTCCTGTGCTATGGGGTGTTGGGACCTGGGGGGTCTTCCAAGGGATATGGGCTGGTCTCTGTATGGAGGGTGTCACCAGTGCCAGGCTCTTCATCTTGGTTGAGGGGTTGGGGTCCTCTGCAGGGCTATGGGGATGACCTCAGGGATACCCCAGGCTGTGGCACGGAGAGGTGTCTCTGGGGGGTCTCGCTGGGGCAGCGCGGGGGTCCCCCTTGGCCATGGCTGCTGGGTGAGCGCTGTCCCGTGGCACCAGGCTCGGGGATCCCCGAGATGAAGACCATCCTGCGGGGCGTCGTGCTGAAGGAGTACCTCACCTTCAAGACCTTTGTGGCCAAGGTGATCGGGCTGACGTGCGCCCTGGGCAGCGGCATGCCCCTGGGCAAGGAGGTGAGGGCCAGGGCGGGCAGCGGGCGCTCGGCGGCACGGGGGCACCCTGGCCACCCACGCTGTCCCCGCAGGGCCCCTTCGTCCACATCGCCAGCATGTGCGCGGCGCTGATCAGCCGCTTCCTCTCCCTCTTCGGCGGCATCTACGAGGTGAGCAGGGAAGGGACCACCGGGGAGGGGGGTCTCCACTGTGCCCTCTATCAGGGCAGCCCCCGCTCAGCCCCGGCCTCTCCACCTGCAGAACGAGGCGAGGAAAATCGAGATGCTGGCGGCTGCCTGCGCCGTCGGGGTTGGCTGCTGCTTTGCTGCCCCCATCGGAGGTAGGGCAGCCCCTGGGGCCCCCCCACACCTGCCCTGGGGGCTGGCACCGCACCC